TTTGAAAAATCAAAGTTGCTACTGCTTTCTAATAGAAGCGGCAACACCGCATTGTCGAAAATATTTTAGTTGGCTAGAGAATGTCCGAATATGCCCTCCATTAAATTTTCAAAGTGATCCGTTGTCTGGTTCACCAGAAACGTCTAATGTGCCATCCACCGTGAAGCAGCCTGTATAGTAAATTCAATCGATTGATGGGAATATACCGAATTTGTTGTAAAAATCATAAAAAAAAATTGTTATATTGAGTGGCCTCAATAGTTTTTGTCCATTTATTAATTTTCCCATTCTCCCAATAAGTTTGAAAGGATTATTGGTTATGAAATAAAAAATATGAAAATGTATACTCTATTTTATACACCAACAGCAATATGATATAAAATTACAGTACACATATGGTTAATGACATTATTTGCCAAATATGTCATGAAATGTGGTCCCATTATAGCCAACATCACTGGATGGTGAGTCAATGAAGCAAATGTACATCCTAGAAAGAAATATTAAAAGTAACTCAGCATGGAGTGCATTACCGTTTTCGGTTAATGACTAAAACACTAGACATAAATTGTTGTTTCTTCCATTCAATAACAACTTGAAAAGTATAATCAAATATTTTCTCAGAAGCTAGTTAAAATTCCTTTGTTTTTGATCAATGATTCTTGACATAATGTCAATAATAGTCTAAAACCTAGCTTTCTGACCAGATTTCAAATGAGCAGAAAAGTACATACAGTACACAGAATGAACCATAACTAGCACCCCTGTTTGTGCACAGCCTGTCTCTTGTAAGAACCCTTGATTGCATTCTTGATTGTTAATGTTAGCAATTCTGTACTTAAACAAAGACCCTCAATTTTCATATACTTTGTTAGTTGCATTTATATTTACGGTTTGTATTGTAATATTTCATTCTGTTTCATATAGATGGAAGCACAAGATGTAATGGTTGGAAGCTCATTCCTGATCGAGTAGTAGTCTGTCAGTCAATAGAAACGATAGTGATGTTGTTGTGTTACTGTGATATAAATAAAGTGTATTTCACAACCCCGAAATCCTGATCAGTTATTATACTAAACTCTGCATTTCCCCATAGATAGAGATAGAGTTTTATTTAACCATGTTACGTATAAATACATTTATGGCAGGACACAGTACATAAAGAGAAACATTGCAATTAAAAATAAAATCACTTCTTCGATTGACGAATTGTTTATTTTGTGGAAATTCATGTTTACTGAGGATACACTACAAAAACACACTTTTGTCTATTTTCCACTATATTTCTTTATTGTTGACCGGTTTCGGCTATTATACCATTTTCAAAACTAACTGATTACATTTAAATCCGAGTAATTTATACCTATATTATTCTAGCATAAATGATTTGATATACCTGATATATCTGATATACCTGATATCCGGTACCTGCGTTTCATATACCTGTAAAATCCATGAACATAACAAAGCTTTCAATATAATGTAGGTTTTGGGATCTGGACTATAGGTTCAGGAGAGGACTATTGTTTAATTCAAGTTGTTCGTTGAGGACAATAGAATTGGGATCTTTCTTTGACCTGTTTATTTCCATAGATTCCAACAGATTCATCATTTTCCCTTTTTCGCATGTATGTAGGATCTTTAAATTATCTTTATCTATTTTATGTTTCGAATTTTGAAGATGTTCGTACATTAATGATTTTTTATCCGAAATGACATGTTCGTGGTACCT